ATCCTATGTCCTTCCCAGGGTCTCAAACTATCATCTTACCAAATATTATTTAAATCGGTTCAGTAGATCCAGAGATTACCAACTACAACGTCACAAACTCACAATTCACAAACTCACAAATTTTACCTCTTTATAATATTAGAATAGATTATAATACTAAAAAACTTAGATGGAAATCGAATTAGTGAACAATTGGTACGTTTCTAATAGGCCAAAAGGTCACAGCCCAAATTAGAATGAAGTCGTAGCTTAAAGAACTACGATTCATATTTTGTTCACGTAACCGACTAACGATTTTGTATAACACACTTTAATGTAAAATTACATGCTTTGTATCGTTTCCTAGTAGAGGGCTACGGCCTTTGCCGCCATAATCATGGAATGGTCACAGGTTTTTTGTTGGGTTTTTACGCGCTATTCAGTAATGATTTTGGGATTTAGACTTTTTATCAATACCGAAATTGGGTTTAGTCAACATTTTTTCTTTTTCGTTATGTACAAGTTGCTGGAAATTCAACAGTTAGTCGTCAAGTATATAAGAGTTATATGGAGTTAGTAGTTTAAAAGTTATTAAGAACGTGAAATATTAAAGGAATCGATGCTGTTCAATTTGATGCAATCTGACTATTTTCTATACTTATTATAAAAATAAGTCCCCCGGCCGCGTCTTTCTGTCCTCCTGTCTGTCCTCCTGTCTGTTTGTAATTCTTGAGGAAGGTTTAGGTATATAATTTATTATGCTTTTATGTAAATTAGCTGAAATACGGCGACAAATGTTTGCTAGTTATAAATATGATTGACACTGATTTTGGGTGTGTCATGTTTTATTGATGCACCACAACACGAGCGGAGCCACGGTAACATATTGTTTAATTGTTATTGTTTGTACATTTGTCACTTATCCGTAGGTACTACTTTGCAATTGTTGTTGATAATTGCGATTTGCTCTTGATATTACTAAATAAAACTATAGAATAAACAATACTGTAGAGAGATAGATAGATCGAATAAAATGTTTTATTGCATACACATAAGTATTACACAGAAAAGAAAAAGAATAATAACAAAACTGCACGCATTTAGTAAAAAGCTGTTATTTTGACATCAAAAACAGACACTTCTATTTTATTTATCTGTATAGTTTAGGCTAACATTTTTTATTCAGTTAAAATTAAAGAAACTTTTGGGAACGTATAATTTCATTTTCTTAACTTTAAGAGTATTTTTTAAAAGTAAAATTATCTTTTTGAATCTATTTTTGTTATTGTTTTTTAACATAGAAAAACAAATCGTTCCTTATAGCGCCATCTATTGACATTTTATCAAGTGTATTTTGTAAAATATTATTGTTTCTAAAATATTACTTCGAGACGTTAGGGTTACATGAAAAATTAATTTGATACAAACAACATTAATAATAATTTGATGGTGCTATAACAAAAGACAAATATTTACTTCAAGAAAGTCTTGTTGATGAAATGTCCATAAATAAACCAGTCGTGAGAAGTGTCGTTTTATAGCCAAGTAGTACCCTGTTATAAATCAATCAATACTTATTATACTTATATCTATTGCTTTCTTAACAAAATCCTGTTTTTTTTTGTCTTTCGTACGTATAGAACTTAATTAAAAATGATTGCAGTTTTCTTAGAAGAAGGCAAGGTAATATTTAATTAGTAAATTATACTCATTTTTAGGGTTCCGTACCTCACAAGGATAAAAGAATATTTCGTTTGTCCGAGCGTCTGTTTGTCTGTTTTTCATATATGTATATTATAATAACTTATAAGTTCTAATCGAAGTGTTCAAGAAAGGCTATTACGAGTATAATACTATGAGCTCTATACATATTAAAACTATTCCAACAATAGGTACTTAGTACTTACACAAACAGTAAAACACTTAAGATAAAATCATTTTACAATACTATTATAATAAAAATCAGCTTTGTTGTTTGATCAATAGATAGATTTGGATAATGTTAATATTCAAAATTTTATTATTATCTGTCTACATACTTTGAAGCTAAATAAAAAGTCACATTACTAAAATTAATAGTAAACTTTGTATGTGTGTTTGTCTGTCTATTTGTTACTCATTTACGCTGAAATGGACCGATGAATTTAAATAAAAAGTACACAGACTATGATCTGGAATGAGACGAAGGCAACTTGTGAAAACGTTAGGATAAATTTAAACTCGTATCACTAGTATAAAATAATTGTTTTTTTAGGTAATATTATAAAATTATAGATTCCTATGGTAATTTAAGTCAAAACATTTGTTTACTCGAGGAAATACAAGTTTAAGCATCAATACTAAGAAGTCGAGATAACACCAATTAATAGCAAGCACTCAACTTAAGATACAAGCGATAAACGCCATAAATTATAAAGAAAACATTTCTCTGGCTCGATTAAGTCATATTAATTTGTCGTAGAAATAACATTCAATCATTCTGTTGGAATGCCTGAGCCGTGGCTAACAGGTGATATAGATTTTTTGCATCGTTATTCTCGATTCCGGACGTAATAACACGCAAATTTTATATTAGACCACTCTGAACAAAAACTACATCCTCCTTATACTGGTTTCACCGGTAATATATATATTTCGATAAATATTTATGTAAAGCTTTTTGTGTACTTTGTAGTGGTTTTTGTGTAAGTGCTATTCATTTTTTGAACTGAAACAATTTTATGGCCGCAGGCTGCTAATGAGTTTTTTTAACATACTATACATATTATGTATGAGTATTTTAGCTGTTTATATCTCCTATCCATATAATTTTCTGGTTTTAATTTTACATTATTGCTTTAGTTAATAATATATTTAATTTTTTATCTTGGATACCTCGTTTCGTATTTTTTTTTGGTATTTAATAATAGTTAACATATTAAAGTTTTTGTTTTAGTATATGCACACTTAAAGTGTATAGTTATATAGATTATACCTGTTTAATATAGAAAGTATTGAGACATGCTCGATACAACGCAAATCACTGATAAGTACTGCATTGATCTTGTGATAGATATGTATAAACAATCGATCGAGAGATTATTATTATAATATCTGTTATATTAAGACTGTTTACTTATGTAACCTGTCATTTATGCTAGCGGTGTTAATATATAAAGCGTTTTTAGTTCTAGCAGATAAAACCGTGACATGGAGATAGGCAAATGGATGAGAAGATTGACGGTAGAATGATAAAACGAACAAACTGACATCATCAAGTTTAAAACTTTCTCCTGCAATTTATAAGTGAATTTCAATTGCGAAAATCTAGAAAGTTTTATTGTAACTCGTCTTAGTAAAAAATAAATATATAAAATTCGCTAACTGACACACAACGCACATCCCTAACTAATGGTTCTAGTAGTATTTCTTGTACAATAAGTGAGTGTTTTTTATTTGTTCAGTACGTAAAAGAGTTTTAGATGTAGAACAAAAGTCTGTATGGTGTAAAATTAATGTTTAAGCTTTTAATCCGACTGCGGCGAAATCCAAAGGAAGGTTATGTGTTTGACCGGTATATATATGTATGTATGCACATATGTATGTATCATGTCCGATCCTATGTTCTTTCGTAATTACTTACTAAACGGCCAGCTATATAGCTGGCTAGATCTTGATAATTCATAGGTCTTTAGATTTGTTACGTATAATACTATTTTTCTTCATCAACTTGTTCTTATTCTTCTAGTTCACTGTCGACGCAGTCGGCCTTTGTTCGAATATCGTTGATTGGAAATCCCATCGAGCTCGCTGCATGTTGAACCAAAATTGAAATTATTTAAAAAAATCATAATAAACTTATTTAAATAACATAGTTTGTTAAATATAACTATATTCATTATACACCTATGTGTAAAATGTAATAAGGAAATAATATGTAGGAGACTGCGGCAGGAACTGTTTCACACTGGTATTATAAATTAGAAAGCGCTGCTTTGCATTACCTTATTTTCTTGTTATTGCTCATAGCTAAGTTGCTAAAAGTATTTTTTTGGAACGATATTGTCAATATTGATCGCGTTTCGAAAATTTTCTTTAATTATGATCAGTAAATATTTAATTTTACGAACAACATATATATTATCAAAAGTATACCGCTATGCAAAAAATTTATTGATTTCGAAAATCAAATTCTATAAAGCCATTATATCATACCTCAAAAAGATACCGTACATATTATTAACGAACGAATTTAATTTATAGACTAAACTTTCTCCTTTGAAATGTTTAATAATTTCTAATTTCTATCCATAAATCACAAAGGACTATTGCTAAGTATTCGATCTTTCGCGTAAAAGTTAACTAATCGATCGCTTATATAAATCATGTTTTGGGACTTAGCTTGCGTTCATTTTATAAACTATATATTCGTAAATTACATATATATAAATATATTATAAATATGTTGTTGGGACATTAATTAACACACAGCACCATCTAGTTCCATGGTAAGCTAATAAGGCTTGTGTTATGGATACCAGATAGTTGATACACTACACATATATAATTTTAAATACCAGCGACTCACCCTCGCTTTGTTCGGGTTCGTCCTTAGGTTGATTCCTCATACTAGCTTTCATCCCCATTTTCACATCCTTAAGAGATGAATTCCGGGATAAAAACAATGGGATAATCCTATGTCCTTCCCAGGGTCTCAAACTATCTTACCAAATTTCATCTAAATCGGTTAAGTAGATTCGGAGCCTATTCAGTTGGTACAAACAAACAAAACATCAAATCTTTCCTCTTTATAATATTAGTATTGATATAAACATCCATGACTGTAGTACAAATATTCGTGCTCATCACACAAATGAATGCCCCCAGCAGGTCTCGAACCCGCGACCGCTGGCACAGCAAGTAGGGTCACTACAATCTGAGCCAAACGTGTCGTCAAAGTATACCTATACATACATATAATTTTACTATATTTTTATTACATTATATTGTCTTTGTTACAGATTAAATAACAAATTACCAACATGTTGTCAATATACAAAATCACAGCGATAATACTTCTCGGCACACTGAGCAAAGGAGAGCTGCCGGAGGATGACTTCAGGATAATCAAAAGACAAGGTAATTGAAGAGTAAAAGTTTTATTCTAAAATTTAACCAAATTATTTTTTATTTTTTACTTGTACCACGGAGTCCAAAACGATACTATAGGAATGCTTTTGTTATAGAGGTAAAATAACTTTTTTGTAACTTTATTATATATAAAAAATCAGAGCAGTACGTACCTAATGTACCACATTTTTTTGCTACATAGGTTTTAACTACATTTTTTGCAGTGAAGTCATGTTCGAGTGCGTTTCTATGAATAGTTTTTGTTTAAAGATAGTAATCATTTTGTAGGCGGAACTGAGAACGTCCAGTAAAGGAATACAAAAAATCCATGCAAAGGAAGCACGTCTAGAACCAATTTATTTGTAACTTAAGTGAATGTAACTATTTCCTCGAGCGTAACTTGATAAAATGTATCATGTCATGCATGCTTCAGAGAATACGTTGAAAATTTTGTAGGAAAAAGAGAGAAAAATTGCCAGAGTTGCGTCTGTTTTTGGGATGAGCTTTCTTGTTGACTTCATCGCCTTCACGTGAGCAAGCAAAGTTAGTCCAATTTATTGGTGTTGCCCGAGAACAAATTCAATGATCGCTTGAGTAGTGTCAGTCAATTTATGTACATACTAGAGGCTCACCCTCGAAAAACAAAAAAAAATCTATCCCACAGGAAACGTACATTTTTCCGGGATCAAAAGTAGCCTATGTGTTATTCCAATGTATGAACTATATTATTGTAAAGTTTCTTTAAAATCCGTTTAGTAGTTTTTGCGTGAAAAAACAACAAACATCCATACATCTATTATATATATTCATATATCAAGGATATCTAAGTTAAATATAAAGTACACGCTTATACAAGACAATGTAATTGTAAGTTGCAAAGAAAATGAAAATAAATTGTTAAAGATTTCTCTTCTTGATAGTTACATAATATAATAGGTAATTTTTCATCAACAAAGTATTTACAGTCATACATAGTAATTACTGCAAAATCAAAGAATACTTGCGTGGCATATGAGCTCTTTCAATTTGATATTTTACACTTTTACAATGCAAATGTACAGTACCAGAACTTAAATATTATTTAGATCATCAAAATTTCGAGGAATTTTCTTTACTAATTGAATATGTGTTTTCAGCAGCAAAATTATTTTAGCATTAACTAAAGGACTTTATCCTGTCTTTAAAAAAGAAGTTCTCAATTCGGATATTTTTTTTGTTGATAATAGTTAACAGTGGACTTTTGTTTTAATTTTATATGATTTTTACTTAAAAAATTAAAACATATAAGTCCAAAATCATATAAAATATGATTTTTACCTACATATATTAATTATATATGGTTTTCAATTTTCATGTACTAATATCGAGCTTTATAGGTAACATATACAAATAATAATTCTAAAAACACTAAGTAATGATTCTTATTCGTAGGCTAATTATTGTTCATAGTTACAAATGATACTACAAGGTAAAATCAGTTTATTAAAGCAATCGTTGTGGCGACATCTAACATATTAAGCCAATAAGTTGAATGTTTCTATTGACTAATTCAAAGGAGAACATTAATCCATAAAAATATTTGCCTGAGGTATTCCTAAGTATGTTCCTAAGTTTGACGACATGTTTGACCCAGTTTGTAGTGACCCTACTTGCTGTGCCAGCGCTCGCGGGTTCGAGTCCCGCTGGGGGCATTCATTTGTGTGATGAGCGCGAATGTTTATACTCCAGTCATGGATGTTTATATTTATAATATGTATGGATTTAAAGTAATATATATGTAGTGTATCAACTATCTGGTATCCATAGCACAAGCTTCGTAGCTTACCATGGAACTAGATGGCGCTGTGTCTTAATGTCCCAACATATTTATTTATTTACTAGCATTGCCCGCGCCTCCGCCCGCGTTCAGATGACCAAAAACCAAATTCTTAGGTTCTACGTATTAGTATACTCTTACATTGCAGTTTTTGTATTTTTTCTCAGAAATGAGATGTTTTCCCGCGGTATAAAGTATCCTATATGTTGACCCTATAACCAGCTATCATCATACCAAGTTTCATCGAAATCCCTCCAGTGGTTTTTACGTGATGCGGTAACAGAAAGACAGACAGACAAAAATTTAAAAAAACTATAGATTCGGCCTATGGAATGGGATTCGCGGTATCGATAATAATGTCTATTTCAATAAGATTTTCCAAAAAATATTTTATGTACAGATTCGGCTTAGTTAGAATTTTATTATATGTATAGATTTGAGCATCTTTTGTGGCCGACTCTGTCTATTAGTAGAACTCGTATCGGGGAGGAAGTTGACAGACCTCGCTACTGTGTCGCAGGATATCGATTGTAGGAATAGCATTACACCTACATACATTCACTACCATGTTTTAGACTAGCTACCTGCACAATATATATATATATATATATATATATATATATATATATATATAGCTCGTAAAAAATGGACAAATAATGAATTTTAGATTAAGTTGCCTACTTTATACTGAATAGAAAACAATTTGTGGACTCCTTATCTATCATTTTATTTCAAACCATGTCTTAAGCCATTTACCGTAAAGTACCATAAATATACAAGACGGGCCCTCGGGATGGAGACGTAATTTTCAATAACGTTCACAGCTCAACAGATTTCTCAAACGCTCTTAAGATTCTTGTCATAATCACTAACCGCTTTACTAGTTTTATCGAGGTCGTTCCAGCATTTAGAAGATTATAAATAATGGCTAGCCAATATTTGCCAATCAATATCTTTAATATTTACAATTCATTTAGATGTTAATATATGTATTTGCTTACGATTTTTCCGCATACAGTACAAGTTATACTTTCTGTGCAATATTTATTTTAAATTTAGCGACTTGGGTGTTTATTACAAACAATGAGAGTTAGGCTCATTAGAATAAAAATATTACAATTATTAGCAGTAAAATGGCAGATACGGCGCTAATATGATAAGAATCTAGTTCATATAAATCATGTAATTAAAGTAATATATACACTTAATAAAATTATAAATCAATAGATTTATTAATAATTAATTAAGTTTCTAAGTTTTTATCAATAAATATAGCTTTTTCCTTACAATATTGATGTAGCCATTACATATTAAATAATTATATGAATTAATTGAACTTATATATAGTTATCTCTACGATACTATAACATATTATCAAGTTGTCACATTTTGCAGACCTGCTGGCGTCAGATAGCGATATCTTTGAAGATAAGGACGGCAAATCATTTTCGCAACTGCTTTTCGACGTTGCAAGAGACCAAGTGATAGTGGGTGCAAGGTGAGTAAAATACGTAAATGAGTATTATCTAAAAGTGTTAGACAATTTTCTTTAATATTACTCCGAGCTTATAAGCTTTCCATACAACTAATAAGAAGCAAAACGTTAGATAAAAGTTATGTCCTTGCGGAACTCTAAATTTTAATTTATATTTATATATATGTTGTGTTACTTACTGTTATATTAATAATTAATTTAAATAAAATATTAATGAGAAAGTGTGCATAGGAATGTGTTTTATGTATAACTAGTCCCTGGTGATTTTTTAAATTGACATATTTTTTTTATTTATGAACCGATTAAAATAAAAAAAATACTAATGTTAAGCGAAGCTTTCTACAATACATTACTGAAAACTGCACCCAAATCGGCTTAGCCGTTTCTGAGATTAGCGCGCCCAAATGCACGGACAAACACAAAAATTCTAAAAATCACTGTTTTGTGTTCTATTCCATTAATAGAGACGGCTATCAGTTACACTTTTATTATAAGTATGTATAATATATATAATAATAAATTGTAGGTTTTTAAATCTTTACGACATAACAAGTTAATGATTCAGTTAGTTATAAATAATCGTATTTTAAATGTCATTAGTTTCCTATTTACAGTTTGTTGAATTAATCGTTCAAATGTGTATTATAATAGATTTGAATCTTAATGTTTCCTCAATATTAGCTAATTAGTGTAAGATAATGTGGTAAAACTATAAGAAATTGTCACAAATTGCAGTTTTTATATCTCATTGCGGTATAAAAATAAGCAAGCAATCTGCTTTTAAAACGATCAAAATATTATATTGCGTACATCGCCACACTATATGTATGGACGAAACGGCTTTGAACTGTTACAAAAACATTAATTAATTTAATATTATAATTTTTCAAGATAAAAATCGAATGTTATTTTAAATATATGTTTGATCTACACGTGTGGGAGCGAAAAATATGTTAATTTACCAAATTCAGTGTGGGCTTTACGTTATGTTATACTTTTGATATCACCTTAAAATCTATACATATAATATAGTTGTAACAAAGTCGAATCTGTACATTAAATTATTTTTTTGGTAAATCTAATGGAAATAGACAATATTATCGATACAGAGTCCGAATCTATAGTTTTTAGAATTTTTTTCTTTCTGTCTGCCTGTTACCGCATCACGAAAAAACCACTGGAGAGATTTTGATGAGATTTGGTATAATGGTAGCTGGTTATCCGGGTCAACATATAGGATACTTTTTACCGCGGGAGAATAATATTCTGAACAAAAAATACAAATACTGCAATGTAAGAGTATACTATTGTGTAAAACCTAAGAATTTGGTTTTTGGTCATCTGAACGCGGGCGGAGCCGCGGACAATGCTAGTATACAATAAAATGCTTTTATGGTAATTCTGAGTGACTTAGTTACGGTCTGTGTTATTGTGTAACTGTGTTGAATCTCACGATGCTCGATAAGTGGAAAACAACGGAACGATAGAAAAAATGATCTCTTAACTGGAGATGTAGAGTTAAGTGAACTTTAATGACATTCTGATGGTTTAGATGTTACAAAGTTTAGAAATAATATAAAGAAGCGTATAGTTAAAATGATATATTATGATAATAATTTATCAGAATTAGGTATATGTTTGGTTAATCAAGTAGATTTTTAATTGAAGTAAGTAATTTTTAAGTAGTTATTTACAAATTCCAACATTTGTTGTCTGGATAATAAACAAAGATTATTTTTTCTGAACTTAAATAATTGTCTCTACGATAAAAACTAAAAAAAAACCGACTTCCAGGCACTAAAATGTAAAAAAATAACTAAACGGAGGTTTTCATTTAGATACCTAATCAGATTTTTTCGTGTCGGTGCCAGCCGATGCAAAGCAAATCTAATACATATATTTCGATACGTAAAATACATATTGACCTATTAGATATTCATATCTTAAAATATTATCGGTGAAGTCGGTTAATAAAAAAAAAGAAAGTTAAAAAATATTGTAAGGTAATTGGTGCAATTTTCATTTTGTTGTTTGTGAGTAGGCTGTCTGTAACAACTATACCTTCGAGACACCTAACACCTCAATCTCTCTCGTGACCATGATTGCTGTAAAGCATTTGAAACGTCGGGAACCAAAAATCCAAATAAATCCGCGAAAAAATCCGAAAAGATAGTTTTATTTAAAATTTTATAAAAAAAAGAAAACAAGATTCACCAGTTTTTCGTAAGCAGTCATTGTTTTCCTTCTTTTTATACCAAAAATATCTTATTTTTACAAATTTTGTTTTATAGAAGTACATACAATGTCGTGTATACCGGCCATAGTAAATTATTATTAAAAATGGTCATATTTTTAAACCACACGATAATCGTAACTCAAATAAATTAACAGACTTGACTTATAACCCATAAAATGTTATCTTAATATTATTTTAATGTAGATAATTTTGTTTGCTCCCTGGCTAACCGATTATACGTTTTTTGAGTCGTACACTTGTTTGCCTGGTGATAAAAGATACTTAGTTTATCACAGGGACAGGTTCATAACGGGTTTGTTTTACCAATATATATTTAGCCTTTTTGAACATCCTACTGCTGGGCACGGTCTTCCTTTTAATATGGGGATCAGGCCATAGTCTATCACGCTGGCCAAGTGCGGGTTAGCGGACTTCACATGTCTTACGAAAACTTGCTAGGTTCTCTCAGACATGTAGGTTTTCTCACAACGTTTTCTTTCACCGTAAGACAACTGGTAATCATGTTAGAAAAGTTTTTAGAATGTTACCACTGTAAAGAAAAAATACTGTAAATAACTGCAGGAAGATTTTACTTTAAAGCAATAATATTTACTTATTGCCTTTACAAAAATATTAATGAGCTTATTACAATTCTTATTATTTTACATAATTGAAATATTAAAGAAGTGGATGTAATACGACCTTAACTTTGATAAGCACATTAATAACGGTCATCGAGATATATTTTCATTCAGAAGCTTGGTATTTAAAATATTATACTTATCTATAGTTAAGTAATAATAAATGCATTAGTAACAACAAACATCTCTCTTAAATAGAGCTTTTTCATATTTAATATGCTTTTATAGAGTGACTTAGATAAGCAAATGCTAAAATAAGTGGTTTTACTCACTAAGACAGTTAGGAGTGGACCTATAACGGTACTTCTAGCACTAATGCATACTAAACACTTGCTAGAATGAAATCAACGATCACTATCTGGTTTTAAGACTACGGTGTGAACGCTGTCTAATTAGTACGTGCATGCAGTTCATACGTTTATAGGAAATGCGCAAACGGTTGATTCAACGAATTAGATTTAATGTGAAAGTTTCGCTGTAAATGTTCGAAGTTTTGAGAATTGTTGTTCTATTAATTTGCTTACATATTTTTTTAGTAATAGGCAGCATTGAACGTGGATATGGTCTACGTATATACTTTTAAAACTTACCTACTATGACTATGAAATAAATATATATGAAAAAAGATAATTTATTATGTAAATAATTCAAAACAATATAAATAATTGATAATGTTCGTACAATTTCAGCAAAATACACTATAGAGTTGAAAGGTATTGCATTTCGAGTCCAATATAGTTAGCCATCTGTTTTGTGGGCGAGCTCAAATATGGTCAATGAAACTTGAATTAAGATAAAAACATTGACCCAATATACAATAACATATTGAATAAACCAAATTCAACACAAAATGAATATAAAAAAGCACTCTGTTGACTTCATTAACGGCGACAAGGAAGTAAGTACTTGAAAACTTTTAAAGATAGCTGCATAATAAATATTTTTACAAACGCGATCATAAGCGATACGAAAATTTGAATAAGTATTTATGAATACGTACATATATTTATATAAAAATACATCAATTTATACTTCTTACTAATAATATAAACAAATAAGAACATTTGATTCCTTTCTTTACTTTAGCGTCTTTATATTATATGTATGTATTAGTGACTCAACCCTAGTGAAAAGCATAAACAAATCTATCCCACGGGAACCGTATATTTTTCCGGGATAAAAAGTAATCTATAATCTATCTTTGTGCCAAATTTCATCCAATTCCGTTCAGCCGTTCTGGCGTGATTGAGTAACAAGCATGCATCCAATCTTTCGCATTTATAATATTTATATTTTTAAGATTAGTTAGTGGCATTAGGTATTTTTAACCTGGTATTCAAGATATTCTCGTGAATTATATTACTAAAAGTTACGATGGTGTACACGGGATGCTTAGGGCCTGAACCGGAAGTGGGAGGGTTTCTAATACTTTCTAATTGATCAACGTGATCTTTACACAGTATATAGAGATCATCACTTGAATCTTTACACATCAAATGTGAAGTGCCTTAATAAAATTTCTATGGTCATATTAAGATTCAACTTTTGATTATGAGGATTCAACGTTTGAATTTTCATCTATATAACACACACACATATATATATATATATATATATATATATATATATATATATATTTATTTAATCGACCCTAGTCCGTCGTATATGTTACACGCTATCTTTATGTGCGCTATAATATTATTATCATAGCCATATGGTAAGAGCACACCCCTAATCTATGGGTGAACGAACTTTGGCCATTATAGTAAAATAAGCTCAAGTTTACCTAGAATAAAGGCGCCTTTACGAGAAGTTAAAAATAAAAGCTAATTAAGTCTAGCATTGTAAGTGGTAAGGTGGTTTACCTTTATGCATTTTATTCGAAGATATAAAGATACAAACAAGATCTTGCATTGATTCTAATTATGTACACGGAAGCCTTTGAAGCCATATTAATGAATATCCGTTTTGTTAATGTCAGCTTATAAACTATTAAATTCAACGTTGAACATAAATTGTACCTAAGAATAATGTGTAGAATTTTCCATGGTATTTTTAACTAGGTAAATAAATATTTTATTTTTGGTTTTAAATTCATAATACATATATAATCTTATTACTAATTA